ATATCTGTCTTAATCCCAGCTCTGCAACCCTTTTTAGGTTGGTGTAGTGACCTGGGGATTTGTGCTACTGGGCAAAGAGTCTAGTCCTGAATATCTGCATTTATTGGGCTTCTTTCTCCTTAGGGTTGAAGTCTCTCCTGGTGATAAATGTGGTGCTGAGAGAGCTACAGTCACTCTTCCAGATACTAGGGCACGATTCAGTGAACTGTAAAAGTAATGCAAAATGACAATTAAAGTAGGGCATTCTCTGGTACCTTGGGGGCCTGACAAAGTGGAAGTATTTGACTTCTGATGTGCCAGACTTATTAACATAGAAACATAATAACATATCACCCATCCGAAAGTCTCACTAGAAACCTCCCATATGTAGAAGGGAGCTGAGAACAGAAAGTAGTAAGCAAAGAAGGCTGCTGAACAGGTAAAAAACAAACACCACCACAAACTACAATATTACACAAAAATCCATGTATCGAAGATCATGTCATTTCCCTCTTAGGACAACAACATCTCAGCTCTCTACCCAGAACTTACTAACTCTTATCTTCTAGACTGTTCTCCCAAGCATAATTTATATAGTTTCCAAGAACACAGCAGAGTAAAAATATCAAATTCAAAATGGAAGATGAGCTGCTTTTGATATACTAACGGCAGTGAGAAATAACAACACTGAGTGTTTGATAGCAAGTTGGTGACAGATCTATGTGAAAAATTAAAGACAAGAAAAAAACCACAGTACTTTGGGGTCATTGAGTGTGCAGGCAAAACCTGCATGGTACAATAATTTTATGTTTAGAAAGGTGCTCTTAAGTAACTAGTAGGAGGTTAAATTATGCTTTTAATACTTTATTTTATGGAGGGAAACTTTGTGATACGTGTCAGGAACTAAGCAGAATGGTTAGGGTTTTAAATAAAAGTTTTAATTCTTAAAGGCGAAAGCCCTAAGCTATCTGGAAAACTGAGCTATCCAGAATTATTTATTCTTTGAGGGTTTTAGAAAGTCAATATTTTATTAAACCTAGGTCAAGTGAGAAGCCTGCTCTTGGTGAATTCCTAGGATAAAGACTTCTAATTAGAGAAAGGATTTGGGAGAAATATATTACATGGCAAGGAAGTGACTCTTATTTGTCATTGAGACTGGAAATAAAAGTTTGCTCTAGACCTATTTTTTCAATGTTAAAATTAGGTTTTTCGGAAGCCAATGTTGTTCTTGTCTCTTTGCTATGTTCCTATGTTAACCTGGCTGTCTCATTAAGGATGGGGACATTTCCTAGTGAAATTAATGTGACATTTACAGAAAATTTCCTCTCTCAAATGTTTCATGTTATTTGCCATTTAGAATACTTAGAGAGGGGATTGGAATAATGTCAAGCAAATTTTGATTAAATAAGGCTAACCAAGAGCCAATACATTCATGCAAAAAAGGAAAGCTTTTGTATTATTTCTCAAAAAATGTATTTCTTTTGTGGTTCTTTATCCCATATTGAGATGGCCTCAGCAGATAATCTGACAAAAGAGGTACCATCTTCTAAACAACTGTGCTCATTTTAGAAAATGCATATGTTAGGTCAAAGCCTGAAGCCTGTCCTTTGCTCAGGACAATTGTTCTCTACCGTGGAGGTACACTAGAATTACCTAAAAAGCTTTTTTTTTTCTTTTAATAAAATACTAGTACCTGGGCCCAACTCTAGGCTAATTAGCTTAGAATCTCCATGAGTGGGTCCTTGGTGACAGTATTTCTTTTTTTAACAAAAAAGACATTTCTGAGATGATTCCAATGTGCAATCAGGATGAGAACCACTCCCTTAAGACATGAAAACTATTCATTAAGAAAAGATTGTATTATTTCCTTCTTCAAAATGGTCTGAGTCACATCCTTTTCTCCACCAGAAGTGTGAAAAAATCTACTCTTTCAGTGCACAGAAGTTGGATTTGAGCACACACCTTGAACCAGTATGAGCTAGAACACTTGATGTCTGTATATGTAGACCTATACTAGGCCATCTATGGCCAGTTAACTCAGTTGTTTGGAATGTAGTATTAATGAGGCCAGAATGATGTATTCTATCCAATTAGAATAATTCTGTTGCATAGATTTTTTTTTCCCATAACTGTGACCAGCTGCCTCACAAAGAGACCTGAGGCTGATTACAAAGGCACAAGACAATGGGTGAATCAGCATAGCCCCATCCACTCTGAGAAAATTGGTTCTAGGAACCCGCCTCATTGACTAATGCTACTAATTGCATTAGGATGCAGCGTGGCACATCTGCCCATGATGGTTTGTGCTGATTTGGGAAATGGAATATTTACATTTGAAGGCCAAGGACCACAAGAATGGGTAGTTTACTCTTTTAGAGTGAAATAAAAGGAGGAAGAAAGATAGAAAAGTGATAAGCTTCAACGATAATCTCCTACTTCCAGTGGCAGATCATGCCTGGCACATCTGCCCACGGTTAACAGATCTGTATCAAGCTGGAGGGCGGGGGCGGGCAGTGGAGAATTGTTAAGGTCACTATAAGCAAATCTTATAGACCTGCTTCTTTTCTTAACTCAGTGTCCGGGAGTGGGAATCCTCATGTTGAGATATATTGCTGCATTAGGACCAAGAAGTAGTATAGTCATCAGGGATAAAAGTTGCATGGTTTTGCTTCTTTGCCTGAACATGTAGTTCTGGCACCATGCCTGGAGGTCAGGTCTCTACAGAGCTCTGTATGTGAGACAGAATGCACACAGGTTTGATGGCTTCATACACAAAACTATGCAAAATTTCCTCCTTGAAAACTAGCTTCTTTAAAAATAGTAAAGACAGTGTCTTTAAAAGACAGTAGCTTGGGATATTGCTCATGCATTTCCTGCAAAGCCAGTATCCTTTAGATTTCCTTTTTTGTATCTGTGTCTAACTACTAACTTTCTTGAAAAAATGATTTAGGAAGTGGAAATGGAACATGCATGTGCTACTGTTTCACTGCCTGAATGAAATCAAATTCCTGATCCTAACTGGAATTTCTGGTTCTGTAGAAAGCAGAGAATAAAGATTCTCACCATTCTCATTATGAATCATGATTAACGCAGTTGAACTTCTCCTTTGGATTCATGTTCTATTATCCCTATTTTACAGAGGAGGATACTGAGGCATGCAGGGATTAAATAATTTGCCCAATGTTGCACAGTGAGATGAATAATTGAACTGCTGAGTGCTTAATCGACTCCCTGTTTTAACAATAATTTTCAGGGGATGGGGGACTTCTAACTTGTTAAATTATATATTGTGCTGAATTCATACAAGAACACATTTAACCAACACTATTTTTACCTATTATGTTGGTGCAACAAATTGACTCAGAAGTGTTTGTTGGTTGACTGACTGATGGATAAACCTCTTCCAACAAATACTTAGATTGTATTCCTAACACAGCTTCAAGTTTGCCTCCTCCTCCTGTACTTGTGTTTGCAACAATTTCAGCACTCTCTTATGAACAAATTAGAAATGAACTGACACTTTTGATTTTTACTCTCCCAATCCATGCCTTCCAATAGCATCAAAAATTGCTTGGGTTTACATTAAAGTGGATATAAACTTCTAGATAAAAGCAGTGTGAATGGATATTACATTGTCCATTTTCAAATCAGGAGCATGGGAGGGGGTTAACGTGCCTGAGTGAGTATAGGGCAATGTTGGGGTTTAGTTTCCTTCTCAATACTCTCTCCTCCTCTCTCTCACCTATTCACTCCTCCACCCCCACTTCCTACCTACTCTAGGTACTTAGGGTTCATACCCTGATTGCTGGCTGTTTGATGCTCATGTGGTAGCTGAATCTGCTATTACCTGTCCTGTTTTCTCCTCTGTCAAACTGTGAGTTCCTTGGAAGCAAGGGCTGCATCTAAGAGCCCAGTGCAGTTAGTGTTTGACAGGTAGTGTTCTGAAAGGAATCTGCTATTTTGTTCACTAGACAGCTATTGTGTTTCCTTTTCCAAGCACTTTCAGTTGAAGTGATTTCAGAAGACCCCTAAGGAATAATGGGAATGGTAGAGATTTCTGGTGGGATGGCAGGAGGGTGGAGGAGATGCATTTGGGCATTTTTCAGTTCATACAACGGTTTGATGTGAGTGGTGCTGGTGTTGGAGGTAAGATCCACTTTACTAGGCCATTCAGTTACTGCAGTGTCAATTTTTCCCTGGCTTCCACCCCTTCTAAGGTTCCTCCCTCCTCCAGTCCCCCCCACCTCTGAGTGATCATAAACTGTTTTCTCGTCTCTTTCATCTGGCAGGTATTCTGCATTTGCTTTTATAAAGCCGTTGTTCCAGCAGTCTCCTGTAACCAGATTAAACAGTGGTGTTCTAATGATAGGAGCTGAGGCAGGGGTTTGCTTGCAAACTTCATGTTTTACATGAAAGGCTTTGGCATCCCCTGTGGACTGCCCTTCACCCTGTTTTAGGCATAATACTTGTTTGCCTTTGTATCTGTGATGAAACGAAGGCCTTCCTGCATTACTAGTGCTGAGCAAATGTCTTAAAACAAAGCAAGGTGCAGAGTTTAAATCCACAGTGGAGGATTACCTTGCCTACATTTCCATATCTTTGGAATAAATATTTTAGCATCTTAATTATCTACTAATAAAAATACCTTTGAACTTACAGTCAATTTGATGGGCATAGAATTGTCTCCACTGGGGACTGGGAAGCAGTTAGTTTCTGTAATGATTGTGGGTCATATTGTCTTTTCTGTGTAAGTGGTTGCATGGTCAGTAGCCAGCCATAATCGAGGGAACATTTGTGCCAATCCATCCTGGTCTTCAGGGGTGAGCTGCTGCCTCCACAGGGCCCCCAGGGCCCCAAGGAAGAAGAGGCGTTCCCCAGGCTGTTTGCTGCTCCACTGTGGCCTTGATTTCCAATTCATTCATTGCTTCTTGGCCAGTAAAAAAATTCCTTCCATGTAGGACAGTTCAATTCTTCTTATGAACCATCTATGTAACCTTTTAAATCTTTTCTTCTCATTGCAGACTGAAAACTACTCTTTTGACTCCAACTACGTGAACAGCCGAGCCCATTTAATCAAGAGGTATGTTGGTTTGCTTACCTATTTATACAGCTAAGCTTGATTTAATATAAAAAGCAAAATAGAATAATTTCTTTTGAACCTAATTTTTTTTCCAGATTTTAAGATGAATGCCTATCTGCTTACTTTAGAAAGTTTGGAAAATTGAGAAAAAGCATAAAAAATAAATTAAATGTAACTGATGATTCCATCCCCAAATGGAATAACTGTTGGCATTTTATCATATTTCTTTACATCCAAATGTATGTATAAACACAATTAAAAATAAAATTGGGGTCATATTAAAATATAGTTTTATATATGATTTAGAAGTCTAATATTAGAATATTAGAAAGTAATAGAAAACTTTCACGATCATGTTGTTATCAAAATTCTTTTTGCTCTTCACTTTGAATAAAGAGACGCCTTAAAAAATTTTCTGTGTAGAACTTCCAGTGAGTTTTGAGATTGCTGTTCTTTTGACAACTTTGAAATCCTTTTAAAGATATTTTAATGAAAGAGAAACTAATTCTTTATCTTTTAGAATACTTTACAGATGACAGAGGACGAGAAATTTGCCTGATCCAATACTTCTTAAAATATTTAGAAGTGTTTCAGATGAAACAGTCAAAGTTGAGATTTGTGTAATTGATTGGGCATAACTCAGTTATCCATGGAGCCACAACGTATGTGAGTACAGAGTTGAATACTGCCAAGGAAGATTGTGCAGTGGGCACCAAAGTCACCCAATGATAGAAAAACAAGGGGTTCAGGAAGCCCTCTAAGGAAAAGAAACTAAGCAAAAGAAAACTTCTCATGTAAAAAACCCCAGTACTGACCATTCAGATGATGCCTTTATTGCTGTTTCATGTAAATAGCCACTTGAATGATCCAGTGGTTATTTTTGCAGCTAAAATTGAACTCTGAGTATGTTTGTTAAAATAATAGAAATGAAATAGAGGCAAGCAGGGTATGTTAGAGCTGCAGCGAGAAGACCTGAAAATTCTATAATTTTGCTGGCTTTAACCCATAAATTAATATCACTGAAGAGTAGAATTTGAGGAATAAACTAACTTGTTGTATAAGTAACTTGAATTCATATCTAATTTAATTAAAGAGGCTGCAGTAACTCCTAAAAACAGGCTAGGTTTATCTGTACTGTTCTGGGATCACTTGTGACCTTAAATGATGATAATTTAGTCATCTGAAATGGATAGCCTTATATTACCAGTTAAAGCACAATTGCGAATTTTTTTGACGGGTTAGGAGAAATCCATTTAGAATTTTTTTTTTTTTTTTTTGGCTCACAGAATAAAAGCAAAAGGTGAGGAATTCAAAATTATCTGGCTAATTCGTTTTAGGAGGAAAAAGAAAACCTTCTTATGTATACTGATTACATTTGTGCTTCAGGACTGTTTTTTTCAAAGCTCCTTTTTAAAACTCTGGTAAAAACTGTGACTTGCCTTATCCTCACAGGTTCCTTGAGCCAATTCAGGGTACCTGAGAATTTTGTGATCAGGTTAAACTAATAAGATGAGCCTGATTTCTCTCTCTCTCTTTTTTTTTTTTTTTTTTTAAGATGAGCCTGATTTCTCTCTCTCTCTTTTTTTTTTTTTTTTTTTGAGATAGTCTCACTCTGTTGCCTGGGCTAGAGTGCGGTGGTGTCAGCCTAGCTTACAGCAACCTCAAACTCCTGGACTCAAACGATCCTTCTGCCTCAACCTCCCGAGTAACTGGGACTACAGTCATGCACCACCATGCCCGGCTAAGTTTTTCTATATATTTTTGGTTGTTCAGCTAATTTATTTCTATTTTTAGTAGAGACGGGGTCTTGCTGTTGCTCAGGCTGGTCTCAAACTCCTGAGCTCAAGCGATCCTCCTGCCTTGGCCTCCCAGAATGCTAGGATTACAGGCATGAGCCACCGCGCCTGGCCTACGAGCATGATTTTCATAGCCTGGCAGAAAGCTAAGACTTCTGGGGACCCTCACGTCTTAGGTCAGCCCTGAATATCCAATTTATAAGGCAGACTGCTGATATGAAAACTTATGTTCAAACATTTTGCTTTTGAGATACATGTATTTCCACAGTAGCTTTGAGACATACTGGGAGCCTCTGATTTTGATTAATTACTTTATATACTTTTTGTTTATACAACAAAAGGCACAACCTAGGCTTAACAGGCTCTTGGTGGAAAGGTCCCCTGACATTGCCTGAAATCAAAGACAGTGGTTTTCACCAGAGACCACCTTGATTAAGAGGAAACAACTGAAAGCTTGGGGACACATACATTTTTGCTCGGTTCTGTTTATGGAACCAAAAGGGCTTTGGAAAACCACACAGGCCTTGAAATTTATGGAGTCAGTTGAGTTTAGACAAAACCCAATACCCAGAAAGATATACAGAATCTTGTGTATTGTGCTGTTCTGGGGACTACCATGTTAAACATAAAATGTGTGGAAAATGTTAAAAGAAAGTGGTGACTAACACCAGGTGATAAAATCATGCAAAGCCTGTTCAAATAGCTCACAGCCATGTTTGAAAGGTGTTTGGCTGTATGTGGTTTCTTGAAGATCTATTTACATGCATGGAAAAAGCTCCTGGCCAGGAAATTCTGAATCTGATTATTAGTTTTAATTTTACTATCAAGCCTGTTTCTTTGAATGCTAATCCAATTTCAGGTCAACTTTGAGAATGTGTTTTCCTATCCATTTTCTCTTCCTCTGTTCACTTTCTGCTACTTATCCAAGGATGTTTCTTGTGCTCTTCTTTTTGGCATTTCCTAGCAGTAGTTAGCATTCTTGGCCAGATCATTCACACATAAGCATCATTTCCTCTCTCACATCTGTCTACCTTGGGTAGTTGAACAGCAGCTACCGCTGTCCACCTCTGGTTCTTTCCTGCATCAGCCAGGGTTCCAACATGAAATAGTTGGCACCCCCAAATTAGAATGGCTTGAGGAACATTTATCTACAAAGGGGGCTATTTACAAAAGCCTGGTTAAGATTAGTGAATCTGAAGGGATACTGCAGTATCCTGGCTCTGGAGGAGCTAAAAATACTTCTGAAAGAAGCAGGGAAAAGAGCATGTAAAGAACATTGATTTGAGAGTTACAGTGACTTCTGGTCGTTCAAGGCATCCAGGCCTCATGAAGAGACCCTGAAGGAAGGGAGCAGAGACAATCAATATCCTGACATGACTCTCATCCCATCCTCTGCTCTGCTGGTACCCCTCCAAAGGCTAAACCCATTGGAATGCCAGAGGGCAAGGGAGTTCTCATAGGCACAAATCAAGGTTGAGAAGGATCTGAAAGGGAAAAGGAAAATATATGACACATTTCTCATAACTTTCTTCACTGAGTAATCTAGTATCATATTTCTGTAGTTATTTTTCTTCTTCTTCAGAATGTTACTTGCAACCTGCAGGTGTACCCAAGGAGGCTTGTGTGAGAGTCCATGGTTGATAAGCCAAGACAGTTCAGAATTTTTTCTGGATGGACTTCCTTCCTGATATGATTGTTTCCTTGCTATCTTCTCAGAGCAAGGAAAGCCAGCAGTGGTTCTTTGCCCCTACTGCAACTTTCTTTCCTCATGCCTGTTTTCTGTGCTGCTCTCTGATAGCCAGTCCTGTGGTGCTTTTGGAACAACATCAAGCAGGGCGTGAGGCTGTAGCTCAAAGAAAATAAAATAGGAAATAAACCAGGCACGGAAGCAGTGTGGAAGGGAAAATGAACATTGCCCAGTGCTTTCCTTTTCCACCCAAGTTGTCCTGGGGTTTTACGGCACCTGGCATGGCGCCTTGTATATAGTAACTAGTGCTTGGTACATGTTTATTGAATGAATGGATAAGAGAGGTTGAGGTAAACCTCACCATTTTTTCCATTAAAAACTAGCACTAAACTTCCATTTAAGCCAGTGATCTCTGAACTTTGATGTGCATTGGAATCACCTGGGAGGCTTGTTAAATGCAGAGTCTCTATCTAGCTCCATCGCTAGAGAATCTCCAGTTATAATAGGTTCTCAGGGTGATATAGGCGGTCCAGAAACAAGGATTTTCTTTATGTTATTTAAATACAGTTACAATAATATTTTGATTCTCTCTTTCCTCTTATTCTTAGCCTCAGATGCCATTCCCTGCATATGTGGTGTCACCTAGTAGGAACATACGACCTGTTTCCGTTCAGATTCTTCTGTCTTTCGGAAAAGAGTTCTAATATTTGAAAAAATAAATACAGGTCTGAATTTGTGTCATGTTCATTCATCAAGCATTCGCTAAATAACTCTTGTGTGCAGAGCACTTTTCTAGGTGTTTTCAAACATACCTGTCTTTCTGTTGGCCGCTAGAGCAGTAATAGAAACATTTACATTTACAATACTATTGCAAACAGGTACCCCTAATTTATAGTCCCACAAAAGTTGTTTTACAAGTCTTTCATCTCCCAAGAGGTACACAGGTAATAAAGCAAGTGAAATCAGCATTTTTTATGCCTGGCATAAATTGTTATTTGTTTTAGGTGAGTAGCCATTTGCCGGGTTGTTTTACAATTTGCAGCATCTTGCTCACTGGGTCTTAAACTGCCTTACACAAATCCATTCATTAAGCTACTAAATGCCCTTACAAGATCAGAGTAAGAGGTCCTTAGTTTGTTGGATGGGCAAACGGATCTTCAAATGAGTTAACTATTTCAAGGATTGGGAGAGGTGTTATACCTCTTGCTTTTTCTTCTGAGAATACGCAACTTCTTGTGTTCACACTACCAGTCCCTTACATCCTAGTAGCTAACCCTTTACTGTTTTATTATTTCTGTCCTTTCTACCTAAAAACAACAGTTCTGAGGTGGCATATAACATTCAGGTGCATATAAAATGGATGATCAAATTTTAAAGAGGCAGATTCAAAACCAATTAGAAGTGAGATAGAGATCCCGAGCATGCAGGGAGATAACTCACTGCAATTAAACATTATGTTTACCTTGAAGCTTGTGAGAAGCCCAGACAAAATGATAAGTACATCAGGTCACATAGTTTTCATTATTCAGTAAAGGAAGGATAGACATTTGACAAGAGAACTATTTTTTTCTGTTTTTGAGTATTAGGAGAAATTAATATAATGGACAGTGTGATACTACAGAAGATATAGACAAGTTCTTTAAATATAAATATCCCATACTAATCCTATAAAAGACCCAGGACATAATATTTAATTGTAACTCAGTGAAGGCATTACCATAGAGAATAATGATCTTAGTAAACAATAACCATTTATGGAGCATCTATGTGTATCTGGTACTTCATGTACAGTGTCCCATTAGGTTTTCCAAATGACTTCTGAAGGAGGTTTTAGCAAATGCATTTTACAGACAAGGAAATTGAAACTCAAAGACATTAGATATCAGGCCCAGGGTCACATAGATGAAGTGGCAGATTAGGAATTATCATTTGTCCTAATGACTCCAAGTTCAGTGCTCGTTCCACTGCAGTCGATTATAAGAATCAAGTTTAAAGAATCTAGAGCAGTTGTTCTCAACTGAGGGTGATTTGGCAATGTCTCTCCTGAAACATTTTTGGTTTTTACATCGTGTTGGGCTCACTACTGGCTTCTAGTAGGTAAAGGCCAGGGATGCTGCTAAACATTTCACAATGCACAGGACAGCCACAACAAAGAATTATGTGTCCCAAGATGTCAATAGTGCCAAGGTTGAGAAGCCCTGCTCTAAGGGCTGGTTAATTACATTGCCCTTATACTATATCCCTCACCATCATGTTTCAAGCAAATTGACAACTGCTGAAATGTAGTCAAATCAGAGTAGAATTCTCTGGCTTAAAGTGACAATTTTGTATGATAGATTAAGGAAATTTTCAGATATCATATATACAGCTTAAAAATTAATCTATGTTATAAAAATGGAATATTATCCAGGAAGATCATATCCTTTCTCTGGAGGTACATGGGTGCTTGTAGGCAGGGACCAATTTTATTTTTCTAAAAAAAAAAATTTGAATCTATTTAAACTCTGGGAATAGTATTTGCAGGTAGAAACCCAGAATATGTGTCATAAAACTAAAAATGGTGAAATACTTTAAATCATGTGTTTCCAATGGGCCTTCTTTACCATAAATGAACTGCAGGATAATTTGTTTTTTAATAGAACTGCATCCTGGAGGGTCCATAGGGCTGAGTTAGCTGTGTGACACAATTTGAAGGAGCTGAGTGAGCTGGCCTATTGAGTGATTTTAGTTTTAGTGCAGTTGATGCCCAGTTATCCTTCCTGGAAATAATTAGCTAACAGGTCAATGCTTCACTTTCTTACTCTTCATTTTCTTATAATTATGGCTTTCCAGTTACTGCCCTCTTGATCTTTTCCTTTTTATATTCAAGTCACCAAGCATTCTACATGTAGGTTGGTCATATGTTAAATATCTGCTGTGATTCCTCTTGACCAAGTGTGGAGAATGACAATGCATCCATTGTGTCCCTTGTGTTGCTCTTCATCATATATACTGAATGTTCTTATGAAAGTCTCAGAGAACCAAGCCTGTGAATGTTCAAGGTTGATCAGATCAATTGAGTTTGCAGTGTCATCTCCACAGGGCTCTTTTTTCAGAGGCACAGTAGGTCTGTTGGGGCTTGTTTTAATTCACAAGCGTGCCACTCTCCCTTATTGAGACAACAACACATTTTCTTCAGTATACCTTTGCTGCTTCCTCACTGACTAGGGAATGGATTCGCCATCCACTAGGTATTTCAGATGCATAATTTATGCTCCACGGTGTAGCACAGCTGCAGATTCTGTCAGGCATACAAAGTATTAGAAATAGCAGGTGGGTCCCCTATAGATGTACCTTATGTATTATTCTCTATTTCATGAGAGATGATGTGGAGTTCTTGGATAGTATGCTCAGTGCATTGTGTGGTGGATTGATTTAATAAATGCAGGAAAAATTTTACCTACAAACTCTTGTGCTGAAAGTTTTAATGTTCTAAGTATAACTATACCCACAATTATTTAATGCTCACTCTCTGGTTCTCACTTTTATCTTACCTTCTTATTAGTAAGGGTTCTTCAGAGAAACAGAACCAATAGGCATTTCTATATCTATATCTATCTAGAAAGAGTTTTATTATGAGGTGTTGGCTTACGTGATTGTGGATGCTGAGAAGTCCCACAATCAGTCATCTGTAAGCTGGAGAATCAGAGAAGCTGGTGATAATAGTTTGAAGGCCCAAGAACCAGAGAACCAATAGTGTTGATTCAAGTCTGGATCTGAAGCCTTGAGAACCAGGTGCACTGAGGGCAGGAGATTGATGTTCCAGCTCAAGTGGTAAGGCAAAGAGTAAATTTAACCTTCTCCCATTTTTGTTCAATTTGGGCCTTTAATAGATTGGATGATATTCACCCACATAGTAGAGAGCCATCTGCTTTACTCAGTCCACTAATCAAATGCTAATTTCTTCTGGAAACACCCCCATAGACATACCCAGAAACAATGTTTAACCAGCTATCTGGGCATCTCATGGTGCAGTCAAGTTGACACATAAAAGTAACCATCACACCTTCCATGCACCAAGGCTCTCTTCTTCTCAGTTCCTGCGTCTCCTCTTTTTCTTTGAATTTGTTCTCCTTTCTCAGTTAAAAACTGTCCTGGGATCTCTGATCTTGATACTCCTTCATATTTTAATTGTACCACTTCAATTTCTGATACTTTTTCTTTTTATAGTTGACGGGTAGACATCTTTGGAGAGGCAATATACATAGTGGTTAAGGTCCCATGAAGACCCTGAAGCTGGACTACCTGGGTTTGGTCTTTTGTGTGTGTGTGTGTGTGTGTGTGTGTTATGGACTTTTTGGCCTCTAGTTCTTTTTTTTTTTTTTTTTATCTGCTACATTACCAGTTGTGTGACCTTGGGCAAGTTATTCAACGTCTGTGTACTTCTGTTTTTTCATCTGTAAATGAGAATATTAGTAACACCTTTCTCTTATACAGTCATGATGATTTAAAAAATTAATAAATGTCAAGCACTTAAAACAATGCCTCACAAACAGTAATCCCTCAGTAAACATTAGCTATTTATTATTTTACTTTGTAAAAAAAGAGAAAAAACCTTCTGAAATGATGACATTCTTTAGAGGTGGTTGTTTTAGATTTGTAGCTTTTCCTGCCTTGCCTATAGTGATGCATTGAAGATAAGTGAATAAAAATATTAGCTGCATCAGCCTCCAATAGTGGGAACCTCTCTGCAGTGTTAACTTCCATTATCTATAACAGGAATTTCTCTTCTCCCTATTGGGCAATCGAGCCACGGTTAGCCTCATTATAGAGCTGACATCATCCTGGCTCAGAACGATTTTAAAAAATCAGATCTATCGCAGCCATAAATTATCATTCTTTCTTCAACCCAGCAGCTCCACCTTCAAGGACTTGGAGGGCAACAGCCTGAAGGATAGTGGCCATGAGGAGAGTGACCAGACTGACAGCGAGCATGATGTCCAGCGGAGCCTGTATTGTGATACTGCCGTCAACGATGTGCTGAACACCAGTGTGACTTCCATGGGATCCCAGATGCCTGACCATGGTAAGGGCTGGTTTGATGTAAGTTGCAACAGTTGACTCCAAAGAACCCAGAATGTTTGCAGACACACTGTACTACTTTACTGTAATGAATGTATTATCAACATGTCTACTGAGCTCACACCTCAGCAGCATCTACAGGTTTTTGAGATGTCCTGACACCTAGCCAAATTCTTCTTCACCCTTCCCGAGTGGATCCCCCAGGATTGTAAAATGTTCAGGCATTTTAAAAGCAGACTGCATATACATATAGCATACATTCCCTTCTATAATAACTGCACTGAGTACATAGGAAATGAACAGATGCCTTCTCTCCAGGAATAAATGGCTCTTTTTGCCTTACATGAACTCGACTGATCAATCGAGTTGCATAGAACACAACACTAATGAGACCAAAGGGGTGAGTTTTAGTTCCCTATTGGGTTGGTTAGCTTTACCCAGAAAGAGACTCTGTTCTCTGACCACAACTTGTGTTCTTTTTACTGGGGATAGAAATTTTGTATAAAACTTCCCATTTTGCCTATGGGGCTGCTATGCCAAATTGCCATAGCTACCATGCAAATCCATGCCATTGGTCATAGGGGAGACCAGGGTGAGAGAGTGCAGCTGAGTCAATGTAAAACATTCCACTAATATGAATGGCACCTCAAAGCACATGTCAGGAGGGGCATCCTCATGTATGAAGAAGAGTCTATTTTTGTGAACTCAGCCTCAGCCACACATACTTCAGCAAGAGGCGCTATTTTAAACTGTGCTAGGTAGAAGCCAGGGTATGAAAACATTAGCAGAGTTCAGCTAAGGCAGAATGTTCAGATGGACTTGGGCACAAATGTCATTTTCAATATTTTACTGATGCAAACATGCTATGCAAACAGCCTGTCTTTTTCAATTAGGAAGTATGAATTCAACTTGGTGTTTAGGCTCAGTGAAGCTTCAGAATGCTTGGCTATATCTTGAGAGAAGCTAGACTCAAGCTCAGCTGGAAGCCCTCCTGCTAAAAGATTTAAAGATGAGAAAACAAAATATGGTGATTATGTGCTGGTCTTCAGCTGTTTCATTTCACTGTAAACATCATTAAATGCTTTTGTTTTGGTTATGGAAATGAATCCGAAAGAAAAAAAATGCATGATCTACAAAACAAAATGTTTTCCATGGAAAAAAATTAGTCACTGAACATTATATTAAATTGTCTAATCCATCCCCTCCTCAGCAGACCCGAGTGTCAGACCCTATTACATATAGAGGTCACTACCAATTGTGCACTGCTGCCTTCCCTAATTGGTGAGTGGTGACATCTGCAGAGATAATATACTTTCTGGGAAACCTTACTATGGCTAAAGATGAAAAAAACTTAAACATTTATATAACTGAAATAGAGGCAATTTAATTCTCAGAGGATTAGTAGTGTGTCACAGGATGCAGACTGATGTGTATCATTTACTAGTCGTGTCTCAAACAAATGCTTTTTCATTTATATCGAGAGAGGGTTTTAGTTAGATGCTCTCTAAAATGAAATGACTCTAGGAAAGGAAATAGTCATAATTGATTCTTACTTTATGCCTGGCTAGAACAACATCTGTTTTAATTTTTTGTCACATTTCTCTAGGAAAACAGTATCAGTGGACTGCTGCTAGTTTTTCTGAGAGACTGTTTCTTACAATGGGATAATATATATACACATTGTGTATATTGGATAGTAATGAGAATATTCTTTTTTTGGTGAATGCATATCTAAATTTTATTTCAGCCATAGCCATTTGAGTTGAAGGTACAGTTCCACCAGTCTCCATATAGGTAGAGTGACCACATATCCCAATTTGCCTTGTATACCTCACTTTGTATCTATGTCCTTGGCCTAATCAATAATGAGAATATTCAAAAGCAAATCTGTGACATTATCTCAAGACTCTCCTACATATAAGATGATTTCACATACACACACACACACACACACACACACACACACACACACACACTTTTTGCTGTTCCATTTTGGCAACATTTTCACATTTTGTTTCTCAATATTTGATTGCATGTATATGTCTTCATTTTTTTCATTATTCCAGCAGTGGCTAAACCTTGAACCATCCCTTGGGTTGGTTCTTTTCAACTTAGGTGAGTGACTAAAATTTAGGTACAAAAGGAATTCAGGTCTTGTTTACATCTCAGTCCCTACCTTGTGATATCTCATTACTTCTGAAGCTTTCTGTAATGATAATTAATTTTGTATCCCAAGTCAACTCCAGGTTTGCCACACATATTGTATCACTTGGATTCATTACTGCTACATCAAAAAACAGCAACAATTCCAACAATGAACATTTTATAGCATTTTCCTATCTCAAACTTACATTCGCATAATAAGTATATCTCATTTTATCCTAAGGCACAGTGGTTTAAATGCAATCACTGGATGAATCCATCATGTATGCCTGATCTTGTAGTCATTTTAGTTAGATTCGTTGCAGGGTAATATGGTATTGTTGCTTCAAAGGATTACTAATTTAGAAAGCTGAGGAGGGAAAACAGAATCTGTTCTGGACTCAGACCTCCACTGAAATCTCAAGAATTCCTTGAGAAAAAAAAATAGTCCCCAGTCTCTTTGGTTCATTGACACTATGATAGGCATCTTAAACCTGAGTGCTTTGAAATCCTGGGAGTTCTGGTGCTGAACTATTCTTGAGGTTTGGGTAGGTGTCACTGGAGAAGAGTGAGGATTATAATGAATTTGTCAAGTTAACTTTGATCCTGATATTTATTTTGGTCCTGCCAGAACCACTCCAAAAATGGGCCAAATGTACTCAATAAGAGTAGTATACCTTATATCTTTGTTTTGGGGAATTTGACTCATCTTGGATTTCATGTCTATAGCTCTCTTTGTGACTTTTCTAATTTGGATATCAGTACTACATTTTTCCTTGCACATATGCAGGCACATGATTGATGAGGAATCTCAGAATTTTCAAAATAAAAATAATTTTATGAATGTGTTAATTTTTCCTTGAGCAGGAATGGGTTGTTCAATGAGCTGATATTGTGTTGCCAGTGTTTGAGATAAAGATATATCTGCATTTGTTCCTTCCTTTTTGAGAGACACCCAGGTCCTGGGCCCTGTGGTTTTTCACAGGGCTAAAAGTTTCTATGGCATTTGTTCTTATACTTTTATTATAGTGGAAGAATGCTCAGTGCGAATGACTCTAATTGCTTCTTGACTAAGGGCCCAAATCTCTTAATTTTCAGCATCTAGTCTCTCAGAACATACCTAAGGATGGGAACCCAGAATCACTATATGCAATGAAGGAAGGAGAATGTCATATTCAATGCAGGAAGAATGTCTATCTAGAAGACTTTTGAACTCAAAGAGCAAAAGTCAGGTGTTTAGTCATTAGAGAGTTGGGGCTGTGTTTTTTTTTTTTCAATTTTTAAAATTTTAAAAATTATTTTTTATTTCATTTATAATTGACACATAATAATTTTACATTTTTATGGGGTATACTGTGGTGACGTTTCAATATATGCATATCAATCACCTCAAACTTTTATCATTTCTTTATGGCGATAACTTTCAAGACAAGACCCTCTTTTCTAGCTATTTTGAAATATATAATACATTGTCATTAGCTATAGCTATCCTACTGTGTAACAGAACACCAAATGGATTGTGTTTTGATTGCCCAACCAAACACATTTGTGAACTGAGTGAGGGTGGAGATAAGAGGGAATGACAGGATTCTTTGCTTTCTGGATTACTATCAATCTTGGTTATTTCTCTTGACATGCCTAAGACCAGGTCAGTTGGTTGATGAACTGGCTAAGGTGAATTTCCTGGTTGCCAGCTGACTGAATTACAAATTCATCTGTCATCCACAGTGTCTATGAATTAATGTCTCAGTTTGTCCCTGGTACTGCAGCTCTTGTTATGGCCTCCCAGAAAAGAATGTGATTAAGAATTTTTTATCATGTGCTTCCAACTAGCATATGTAGTATATATATTTTGGAATACTATCACTCAGTAGCTCTCAGAGTGCGTCCAGAAAAAGTAAATGTTGTCATTGACAGGTTTTACCACTTGATTTGGTTTCTGAGGCAAGGCAATTTGGTGCTGAGTTTGAGAGTCACACTCAAATATTTTAACCAATTACTTCCCTACCTGAATTTGAGTTATTTGGTAAAATTACCACCTTCTGGTGGGGATAAGAATTTTGCCTTATGCAATTCCTGCATACAGTATCTAAGAAGAGTAATTGACAAGTAGAGTGGTCAGAGATGCCAGAAGCTCGTGGGTTTGGGGATATCACCAGGCTTGAATCTCTTTCTATTATTTCTCTTTCTTTATTTCTGAGTTGAGTAGTGCTGAAGTAGAGGTGAATCTCTTTCTTTATTTCTGAGTTGAGTAGTGCTGAAGTTAATAGGCATCTGGCTCCTTCTTGCTTCTGTGCATGACCCTTTGTGATGATGTAGATATCCCATTATGCTTACTTAAATATGTAATCCTGATGTGAAATTGGGGTTTATGAGGATCATGTCCTAGAACTGTACACTAATCCCAAACTCCACTCATTTATTTCAAATAATACTCAGTTTCTCTTTCCATATGATTTTAATTATTGATTATAAATTCATCAGCTGAAAAGATGACTTAATTGTTCTAATATGTACACAATTTGAAATTCGCTACAACACTGAATTGTTTTCCCTCCCATGCTAATTGATACCAAATGGAAGCAATATACAGAAATTTGCAGTAATATTTATCTGCTTTTTCACATCCAAATGTACCCAAATGTGATATAATGATTGCTTGATTTCTAGAAGTGTAGGTTCTTCTGTGTTTTACTAGACTCGTTTATTTACTAGTTTCATCACCTGAATATTGTTTAACATGTTTGCTGTGTAAAACATGGATTTGAAGAACTTGATCTATGCCTAATGCAACTGCTCTTACAAATTAGCCATGAAGATATTCTGTAGGGTGCATACTATGCATATTCTAGTGCCAACCTC